AAGATCAGGGTTGCATTAGAGCATAGCTGTCAGCATCTATTCAAGACCAAATTCCTGACCAGCTCCAGCTTTGCACCTCGCAGGGTGAAGCATCTGCTGGGAGCTGGATAAAAAATCCCCTTTGCTCTGTGTGTCAAAGGATTCCATCTGTTAAATCCTCCTTCCCAGGAATGCCTTGCCATGCCATTCCAGGCTAGGACATTGTCCAGAAGCTGCTGTGAAGCAGGACCTTCCTGTGCTGTGGTTTGTGACTGTGACCACCCTGCCAGACCCAGTGCCTCTGTCCTGTCCCTCTACTGTAGATAGGCTGCACGTGGTGTCCCCACAACGTCGTGTCCTGGGTTGGGCTAGCTCTGTGTCTTAGGACTTGTACTGTGTCTGAAATCATTTAATCATTTATCACCTGAAACTTTGATAAACAAATTTGGTTTATTTATTTTATTAAAGTGATGTGGGTTTGGGTTTTTGTGGGTTTTTTTTTTTTTTTTTTTTTTTGAGTGTCTATACTTGTGGCTATATTTAAAATTAAACTACTGCTGTATTTTAATGTGAGCAATATACATGAGATATTTTAATAAAAAACTGGAAGCAAAAGATGGGTTTGGTATGTGATGTTAAGGGATGAGGGACTGCAGAGCTTTGGGTTTTTTGTCAAAATTACAGACACAATCCCCTGGTAGTCAATGGACACAGCCATGACTTCAGTTCTTTATCCTCTTAGAATGGTGCTGCTTTTCTGGGCAACTTGTGCCAGGGCCTCACCACCCTCACAGGGCAGAATTTCTTCATATTTTATCTAAATCTGTAAGTTTGAAGTCATTGCCCCTTGTCCTGTCCCTCTCCAGTTCAATGTCCTTCCAGCTTGGGAACTGTCCCAGCCCTGGCTATGAAATATTGGAGATGGCAATGGGCACAAAACCATCCTGAGGCAATCTTAGAACCCAACCCTGCATTCCAGCCCAGCTGCCTTTTGAAGAGACCCAATTTCCTTCCTCATTTGTTCAGTTGCTTCACTTCACAGTAATGCAACACAAGTCAGATGAAACCATGAATATTCATTTTTAGTGTTAAAAAAAAAAAAAAAAAAGAACCTCTGAGTGATTTGAAACAGCACCAAACTTGGCTCAAGTTTAGGACATACAAAAAATGTTTCTCATAAGAAGTACTCATTATTATTGTGAAGAGACAAAATAGCCAGATTGGCTGTACAGCAAAACCCATGTTTAGAACAGGAAAATGCCATAAAAAAGGGGGTTCCTGTCCCTGTGATTTCAGTCAGCAGAAAGCACTAAGTAAAGGGGATCTGAACTCAACAAAAACTTGGCCAGAGTCTTTTATCTTGTTCTGAATAGGATTAATTAAAGCAAAACGTGGAAGAGGCCCCATCACAGGTTTCTGCAGCCTCCCTGGATTACTCCCAGGCTTTCACTCTAAGCCACCCTTGGTAAACGAGTTCTGCAAGTTCCATTAGGGCCACCATGTCTGTCCTCTGAGGACTACTCAAACTGCACAGCAGGAATCAGGGATGGAGAGACCCTTCTTCATGCTTCAGTGACATTCAATGACAACCATTTAAACCCCCTGCAGTACTGCCAAGTAGAAAGTAAAGATATATTTTGTGTGAGCACAGGAGTATCATCCATTGCCCAGTCAGTGTAGGGTTTTTTAAGAAGCTGTACCATGATAAAGCTCATTGGAGAAATTTGAGAAGTCATGGTCTGCTCTAAGCACAAGGCAAACATTTCATACCTGAGCTGGTCATGGGTAAGATCAAATCACTGCTTGGTACCACACTGTGATACCAGCACAGTGCTGCTGCTGCTGCTCTGAGTGTGCTGTGCAGAGAGAGTGAAGTCAGCACCTCCTCCAGCTGCAGCTGCTGGCCAGCTGAGAGCTCTGATCCTCACACTTCAGCCAGGCAGAAAGCAGAGCACAAATGTACTCCAGAACAGAGCCTACCACTGCTATGTAGGAAAGGCTTTGGCTTAAATTCTCTTCTTGTTAAAGGGAGTAAGTTTACACAACCTCAGTATTAAAGTTTAATATCAAACAATTTGCTCAATGTTACCAATTTTCAATTACAAAACAGGGTCCAAAAAAATTCCATAAAATATGTTTAGGTGGCTGAACAGAGTTAAGTGTGTTCAGACCGCAAGGGTAAATATCCATAACTTTTTGGTATAAATTATCTACAAAAACTGGTATAAACAATATTCCAATCTTAGTATGGGTTCCACCGAGGATTAGAGAAATTTTCAGGGTGACATCCAGCAGGTGTTAGAGTTCATTGCCATTGACACATTTCTGCTGCTGCAGCCTGGCCTTGCGCAGTGCCTCCAGCTGCTTTGCTCTCAGCCACCTCTCCCTTGACAGCGTCGTCTGCCCCGCACTGAGCGACAGGAACCTGGGGGAGCACAAAGAGCCAGTCAGGAACAGCTCCTGCAGCTGCTGGAACCCTGCCCAGCTCCAACCCAGCTGCAGACCAAGTGCTCAACCTGCAGCTTGCTGGGAAGCCCTGAGTGGTGACAAGGGCACCACACCCACCTGGCCACCAGCAGCATTTTGTGCAGGTCATCGGCCGTGACGCTCTCGGGGTTGTTCTTGCGCATTTCCACAAAGTCTTCTTCTACTGCCTGGAAAAACACAGCATGGAATTATGGAGCAAACCAGACCTCCACGAGGAGACAAGCTTTTGAGGAGCTGAGCACTGTAACGACCTTTAGATTTCAATGTTTCAACTCATTGCTGTCCAGAAGTGAGCCTGAGTAAAACCAGGCTACTTCTCATCTTCGAAAAGAACCCATTTTCAAAATGAGTGTTAGAAAGCAGATTACATGCACTGTTCCTTATCTGTAATAAATTCAGTATATGCTTTACAAACCCTTGAAGGCGTAGTCAGGATGTGAAAACTTTTCTCTTTGGGTTTTGTAAAGGAGAATCACTGACAGGGCAAGTACAGTAACTGTCTACTAAGATGCTTTCTATCCAAATACACTGTTGAAAACGTGTTGGGGAGTGTCCCTACCTTGGTCACCTCATCAGATATACTGTAGTCCAGCAGCCTCAATAAACTCAGGTAAATTCGGAATTTGTTCAGCACGGAGGGCAGCACTGCAGTGAGGAGGCTGCTCATGTACTCTTCCATGTTCGGGGGAATTATCTGTGGCTGTAAGTGGACTTGGCAATCTGACTGAAAGAGAAAATCACATTTCACCTCTTTGCACATCCCACTATTTTCTATTCCAAGACTAATTTACTCTCAAAAGCAGCAGAAGTCACTTATTTCCCAGAACTAAGGTTCTGAAACATTCCCCGGCTTTCATTTTGAACAGCTCCTGATTCAAGCAGACATAGCAGATGTTTGCAAGCTCAGGCTACTGCAGGGGCAATGCCACATCTGTGCCCATCACCTCAGAACCCACCATGCCAGAGGGAGGCTTGGAGAGCAGCACATCTCTGCAGCTTTCCCCATCCCTGGGTCCTTCACCACCTCACCATCCCCATTCAGAACGGAGGACGGAAGCTCCATCTCTGCTTTCCAGCCACGAGGGAGGAGGCAGCAGCTACTGCCAGTGTCACACCCTCCCTGGTCACAAGACACGTTTCCTGTCCCCACGTGTCCCTGGCAGGGCCTGCCTGGCAGCAGCTGCCAGCTGCAGTTCCCCTGCAGAACCTGGGAGCCCCTCCCATACCGGCAGGAGCGAGCGGCCCTCGGAAGTGATCAGAACATTAATGTTGCATGGGAATTCCATCCGGTGGTAATTGAAGTCATAATCCACCTTCTGCCAAGTGATCAGGTTACCCAGGGCTGTCACGTTATGGACACCTGCAAGAGCAAGAGCAAATTCCCTGAGCGCTGGAGCACAACAAATGTCAGCCCTGATTTTTGTTTCCCATCTGTCTTTAAGGAGCAGCCAGCAGAATCATCCTGCAATCATCCTGTTCCTTCTGGTGTCTGAGGTGTCTTCCAGACAGAGACAACCACTACTTAATGTGAGCCAAAAATAAGAATTCTTGATTTCAGGCCTAAACTTTGTCAGGCTTAGTACATGAGTTTATAGCTCATGTTTTCACTGGCCCTACAAAGCCAGGTATCTATTTAGAGAGAAAAACCAAAAAAGAAATCTCTCATCAAAAGCAGACAAACACAACCAATTTAATTTTGCCAAATTTTTTAATAGTACTCACTCAGCTTACCTGGAATTAAGTTATTTAAAATATAAAAAGTTAAAATTGACAAATAACTGGTTGACTCTTGGAATTCTCTCTCTAAAATACCAACATGTACCTGACAAACTGAATTTCTCTTCAGCAGGTACTGCATCAAATGACAAAACTACTATCATGGTTTTGCTTTTAAATACTTGGGAATTATTTAGTATATTGTAAATAAAGGCAAAGTAAGCAAATAAAGGCAAATTTAATATTAGGGTTGTCTTCTGGGACATTTTTCCATTTGAAATTTCTAAGCTGTAGCTTCCAAGAGTTCCAAACCAACTACTACATCTGAAGACACTATTCTCTAGGATTAAATTTGGCTCCCAATGCTGCTGTAAGAAATGAAAAAATTTTACTTCTTTACTCTAAGTTCAGTAGAAAACAGTATCACATCAGCAAAAAAGAAAATTAACAAGCCTTTTTAATCTGCAATTTTTAAGACCTAAAATATTATTTTTTGCTAAATGCTGAGTATTTTTAAACATTACAGACAAACATTTTAGAAAACCTATAAACCACCACAGCAGGAGTTCTCTCTAAATGGGAGTTGATCATATTTTAATTTGTTTTTTTTTTTTGGAAACAAACAATGCAGAGCTTGTTACTCATTTTATTATTTTCTTTAGCAAAATTTTGTAGCTTTACTAAAGCTGAGTAGCAAAAACTACTGACAACTCAAAAGCAATTGAATAATTTCAATTAGCAACTTCTAAGAGCAGTGATTAAAAAAACCAAAGCAGCTTTCTCCAGACAGCATTTTTATTTTAAAATTAATTTACTTGAAGTGATTTCCTGTTGTTTCATAGAATCTCCTGAGATGGAAGGGACCCACAAGGATCACTGGGCTCCAACAGCTGGCCCTGCACAGGACAGCCCCAGGACTCACCAAAGACATCTGTACTGTGCATTATCCAGGTACTGAGCTTTTAATATGCAACTCAGCTCTTTTATGGAAGTTATAATTAAATTCATTTCTAAAGCTCTGCTGAAAGCATGCTACACAGTGCTACATCAGCTTGTAAAATAGAATCCCTGCTATTTTTAACACAGTAATAGCAATTTTTTTTCTCCAGTTTATAGCTGTGTTCTCAGGGATGGTTTTCAGAAATACAGTAAAAATATAGAGCATAAGGCATCAGCATATGCTTTGCCCACTTCATGCACTATCACAGGAAACTGAAAGGCCACTCCAGTGAATCAGAGTTATTTTGGTAATCAAGAGTTCTCCCAGTTTATCTTAAGTTGGCTGAGAAGTTGCAGGAAGCTGCTTCAAAGCCATGCAATAGGATGTAGAAACCACACACAGTTTTGCAACAGACCCCAGCGGGACACGATTATCACCACTGTGTTAAAACACAGCAGCTGTTAACCTCCCCAGTGAGACTGCAGACGCAAACAGGGTGTACCTGCTGTGTCCAGCTGTCCCTGCTCCAGCTGGGTCTCATCTATGACCAGGGAGGTGTTGCTGGCCAGCTGCAGCAGCCCGCTGACCAGGCGGTTGGCCGTGTAGTCCTTGTGGGGGATGAAGCGCGCCTGGTTCATGCTCTCGATGCTCATCCGCAGGTGGTAGGACTGCAAGGAGAAAAAACCATCAGCACCCGTGCTGTGCTCCAGCTTCCCCAGGGAATGCTGCTTCCTGCAGCTACTGCTGGGCTGGGAACCTGCACAGCAAAGCAAAACTTGTCACTGCAACACTTTAATCATCCCAAATATCCGAATGCTGTATACTTCAAAATTTCCCAAAGGAAACTATTGCTGTTAGGAATTCCTATCACCTGTTCTGCACATGATTTATTGCAGCAATACTGTTAGTGACCCCAAATTGAATTACTGTGGCTTTTCTGCAGAGCATTATCCACAAACCTAATGACATCATTATTAAATAACCCAAATGTCTAAACATATCAATCCAGAAAGACCAAATAAAGCATGCAGCATCTGCCTGTCAGTTCAATACCTCTGAGGAGAGGATTTCATTCCATATTCATCCTAGATGATGAGGCACACAGATTTCAACACACAGGCCAGCCACATCTCTATCGTTATCTGCTCTCTAAATGGGGAGCAGGAGAGCATTCATCAGCCTGCCCTGCCCAGGCTGAAGCAGTGAGAACACATCCCCCAGCCTGCCCAGGCAATGCTTACTGCTGGCACCAGCTGCTGGATGAGGCGGTACAGGTGCTCCGTGAAGGCGCTGTTCCGGGGGCAGCCGCTCAGGTTGACGGTGAATTTTCCCAGAGGAAGCACATCCCGTCTGGCATAGCTGCACCAAAAGCAGCACAGGTTAGGCAAACACCTGGCTAACACTGGGTACAGGTGTCATTCAGCTGGAGCATTGAGTGGTGTCTCTGACAGCCAGCAGGATTTCAGAACACACACACCAAAATCAGCCAGCTCCTCTGCCTTCCTTGTGCAGTGCCCAAGGAGCTGAGCCAGGCTGAAGCTGCTGCTCACAGCACCACACAAAAGCAGTAATTTACAGTGCTTGGCACCTGCAATGGCCTCCCAGACATTCTGTTCTTCTTGTACTCTGTTTTTACTCAGTGAACACACTTCATTCTTTTCCTTTCTGCTGCCCAATCTCAACTTCCCTCCTTATCACACTTGTTCATCTCCTTTACCTGCCCTCAGCTTTCCTCTCCCTCTTCTCACTGTGTATCTTCTCCCCATTCTTGACAACTCAACCTTTTTGTGATACCAGCTAAGAGAGAAAATACATTCTAAGCTAAGTGTTGGAACATTCACAATCCTACTAAAAAGAATGAAAACAACGCATTTTGATTTTGAAGGCTAAAATGACTAACATTAAATTTGGGCCTCACAACTATAATGTCTGAAGTTTCACACTTAAGAATTTAATGAGTCAAAGGATGCTGCTCTTTCACCCATAGTTTAAATCAAGATAAGAATAAATTTATATAACATGCTAAATAGATCACTTGAACTTACCATTAAACAGGTTTACATTTAAATAAACAAATTCCCAGGATGTACCTTTCAGTACCTGGTAATACCTAGGTAATAATTCCTGCAGTCAGGAGATGCTGTCTTTGGGAAGTCAGTGGCATGTCCTACTCATTAGAAGAAGCCAGAGTAGGAAAGATGTTTTCATACCTCTGTTAAAAAGTGTCTTGGAGATTTTGTCAGCTCTCAAAGCAGCACTGAAGAGATACACTGCCATAAAGCTGGTCTTCTATCAATACTTACTGTTATTTCAGACACTGAAATCTACCTTTGTGTGTATTGTGACAGGACAACTCTACCTGGACAATGTACTACTGAAATAAGTATTATTTAAGCTATTCCTGCTGTTTATTTGCAGACTGGTGAGCAGCCCCATAGAAGGAGATTTCTTTTAAGTGATAAATACACAAATTCTCAGCACACATGTAAATACTCACACTGTAGAAATGAGATGCAGTATCAGGTATTCAGCAGCCAAACTGTCTCCCAAGAGGGCATGGGTGAGGAACCCCAGCAACTCTGCTCTCACTGGTGACAGCTCAGACATGAAATTAGAAACAACTGGCAAAAGAGCAGAGGATAAATGTCAGAAAATGTTCTTGTTTCTCACCCTCTTCCTTCTATATAAATTTGACTTTCTGTCACAGTTTGATAAATAAAAATGTTTATTCCAAAGCAATCTAGGGAAAAACACCCCAAATGCTCATTGGTTTTTTCAATTGGTTTTGGAAAACCTAAATCACTCAACACTTCCTTGGAAATTATTTTTTAAAAAGATTAGATATTGTGTAATGCATTTGCAGCAGGGTATAAAGTGTAGAGCCAAATTTATAAAATCCGTAACTGCTCCATTTTATATTAAAGGCAGAAAAAACCTCTTACATATTATCAGAACAAGTAATACAAGGCGCTCAAGGAAGAGAGTTACAAATACCAGAAGTCTGCATGCAATAATTCAATGAAAAATACAGTCAAACAAGGAATAGCACAGCTGCTTAAAAGCAGAATTGCCTTATTTTGTGCACAGCATTATGGGTCTCTATATTATCAGTATGTTTCTTATTTCCAGTATCCTACTAAATTGGAAATCCAATTTTCCAGCAATTCCCAACTCTGTCTGAAAATAGATCAAATCTTATAGCTGAACAACTTGGTAAAATCCTTGGGCACGTAGAATACAAAACCAAAGTCCACATAAATCACATTTATTTCAGCCAAATTTAAATTTTAAACATTACATAAACACAAACATCTGCATCCTGTGCAGCATTGCATGGCTCTTCTATTTAACAAGATTTAAATTCAAACCCTGCTGTTGAGGCATTTGCCTCTCAGCAAAGCAATATTTGTTCAGATGTTCTGGAAAACACCCAGAGTTCAGACACTCACAGGATTTGCTCTCCTCTTCGTTAAGGCAGGCAGGCAGCAAGGGGTTGATGTGTTGCAGCTTCTGTGCCAAAATCACATGGATCCTGGGCACTAAGGAGGCCGGGGGGCTGTGCACTCTCTGCTCCTCTGCCGTGTCCATGCACTCCATGGGATCCAGGGCTGAGCTGTCCCTGGGGAGAGGCACAGCACAGCTGGACTCAGAAACATCCCACAGGAATTGCTCTCCCTCTGAGCCAGAGCAGCTGGAACCAGGCCAACAACAGAGGAACAAACAACACCCGCCCCCAGCTCCTGGTGACACCTCCCACATTCAAACCACCTTCTTTGGGATCTTTATAAACAACATAAATACTGAATCACAAGTACATAATGACATATTAACACCAAAGCAGGCTTGACCCAAAATATCTGGATTCTATTATTTTCAGAAAATAATCAAACCATATTTTTCTGAAGAAAAAAACAACCCAACAAAAAACCCTCAAAACCAAACCCCACAAACAAAATCACATTTATTATTTGCTGCACCATTTAATAGGCTGTAGCTTCAAGTAAAATATTACATACTGTTCTGTCCAGCCTGTACTGAGTGAAGTGTAAACACCAGGTTTAAAAAGATAAGGTAATTTATTACATTTGTCTCTGTAAGCACACGTGACACTTTCATATCCCACCAGATTCTGGAGCCTGACAAGATCTGCTAGACAGTCACATCACATCTCTATCACTGGCTGAGTAAAAGAACTGTGAATAAATAAATCCTAATGTACCTCTGCTGGAACCTGGAGGTATTACCTCTAATTTAAGAGTTCAGATAAATGTTCAGGGAGAGCAAAGCTTGTGTCTTACAAAATTTCTTCCAGGTGGTTTTAATTTTTCATTTTTAGAAAGTAAAATCCCTAAAGCAACTATATCAAATGACAGTAAAGTTTAGCACAATTTTCATTTTCTTCTAATGGTTTTAAAGGCTGTCAGGCTTTGTAACTTCAAAGCCACTTCAGCAGTTCACCCACACACTATCCACTCTTTGCATTAAAAGAGATTTGTTTTGTTTGCATTCAAAATGTTGCTAAATGACACCATTTTGTCTTCTTGTTATAGAATGACACAGGACAAAACCCACAAGCACCTGTGACAGAGCAACTGAGCTGTCAGTCTGGGATTAGCTATCACACAGATGATAACAAAAAGCAGCTGACCAGGCTGAGGTAATTTTTAAGAAGTTGGCACTATAAAGGATTCACATTGCACTCTGGGTATTGTACTTGCCAGACAGATGAACAGACTCACCAACAGAAATAATTCAGAGTGCAGTGGTACATCAGCAGTATTTATGTTAGATTTTGCTCAAGAGTTTTATTTTCAAAATTGACTCCTTGCATCCTAAATGATTTTGTATTTTGTCAGGCATGGAATTGCAGAACAGCAGGTGAAATGGGGAGTTTCTATCAGTGGATTAAGAAGATGTGATTGTAGAGAAATCAACCCATTTTTTACTCATTTTGGTTACTATCACTCTACATGCAGACATGCAAACATTTTTTTCTTATATTCTTCAGAGTCTTTACCTTTCTGGTAACAACCTTCATGGACTTTGAAATTACTTCAAAAGGACATTTATAATTTTAAAGCTTCCTTGAAAGATTTGTTCACTATTCACTCATTCACTGAAAATGTTGTACACATGAAAGAGTACAAAACATTTAGCCATAGAAGCATTTTCTGCTTTACAGACTGTACAACAACCTAAAAAAAGATGCACTGGGTATCCAAGGATATGGATGTACCAGAGCACATTGGACTTCAGTTTCCAGGATGCTGGATATAACACTTTCCTCATCAAGCTATTTTAAAGCAACCAAATTCACTTCTTAAGCATAATTATCATGTACTTCCACATTTCCTTGTCTGCTCACTGCAATAAAAACCTGCATTCCAGCACAGCCTTACCTCTCTTCACTGTTCACTATGCTCAGCACTGGGTCCACAGACAGAACACCAAACACCTCCAGCACATCATTGACTTTGAAGCTCTCCCAGCTCTCATAGACCTGCCCCAAACAGAAAATAAAATGCTGAGGCAGATGGGCCAGATGCAGGACAGCAGAAAAATTGTTTCACAGTAATATAACATAGCAGTGAATCAAGGACTATTTCAAATTCAATACACCAATGTGCAGTTTATTGGTTTTTCACAACAGTTTTTCAATTAAATACCAGAGCTAAATACCAGCTGCACCCTGGAATCTTTTTTTTTAAACTAAGTGGGGTGAGAAGGTGCAAGCTCTAATAAATGCTGCTGAAGGATTCCAGCAATTCAAATGCAGCACTCGAGAAGAGAACAACTGTGTTAGTGAAGAGAAAGAATGTAATTATCTCTGGAAACAAAATTCTGGACTCCAGACACATTTCTGTGCCTACAAACCAGTGCAAGGCTGATTCTGCCTGCCTCACAGAGAGCCCAGCCCTGCTCATCATCTCTCCATCTCTCACCTTTACAAGACACGCTGGTCCCTTCTCTCCTGGCAAAGGAAAATTTAGGTCAAGTGGAGGGGAGCAGTTGGGAGAAATGACATGATGACCTGCAGAAGCTTCTGTTTCTAATCTCTTTGGCTCCACACATCCATGGATATCACTTCCACTGCCTGAAAAACACAGGATTTGCAGGCTTAAAAACAGAAATGCAGAGCTGAACAACTTTCTTTAGTAAGCAACACAGAGTAAAACTAATTTAAGAAAACATCTGAGACAAGAATATTTAATAATGCAATATTCCTGACAGAATATACTCTTGATATGAGAAGTCTCACAAGTGCATATTTTATGTAATCAAGTTAAGTGTGGGAGAGAGTACTGGCAAAGATCTATGTGTCATGGCCAGAAATCTGATTTTCTACAGTCCACAGGACTGCAAAGGTAATATTTTTCTGCATTTCATGTTTAAAGAAACAGGTAAGAATATGCATAAAACCCAGTTTATATTAAACATTTCTGTAGATTGTCAGCAAGTCACACAATGCACATACAACACTATAGGCTCTCCCACACTCCTTCAAATCAAACCACAGACTTCAACAAAGCCTCCAAATCCTAAAGGCTGCAACAACAATAACAATGAAAACAGCTGGCAATATATCAGTTTTTAGCAATGAATTTTTGGCAAATCCTGGAAAGATATCAGAACAACTATTCACCAACAGCAGCTCTTACCCATGTGTTGCTCCTTCTGTTTGGAGGGATGCAGATCCATGTCCTCATCCTCCTCGTAGCTCCTCTTGTGGCGACTGGGGGTGTAGGAGGTGGAGGGGCTCACTCGGGCCTGGCTGGCACTGATGTAGGCCTGGGATCGAGGGTTAAGGAAGCCACAGGCTGAGCAGGGAAACCTCAACCACACTAAGGTTATTTGTTGGTTTTTTAAACAAAATCCTAATCTTAACATGCTCAGTTACAGGTGTTTTATAGGAGACTCTTACTGTGGAACAGCGTCCTGCTGCAGAAAATGCCAATGGCTCAACTGAAATTTCCCTTTTCCTAAGCATTAGCAACTCGAAATGAACAGAAATTTTCAAGATTCTCCCAAGCAAAAATATCTATGGAATCAAAACTAATGCTCCTAAATTAATTTGCATCCTCTTTGTGCATATTACATGCCATCAACTTTCTTTTTTTCTCTTTTTTTCTCTTTCTACACCTATCACCTCTCCAGATTCACTAAAAGAAAAAAAGAAACTTTAAATAACTTTATCTCCTAAATCTTATTAATTAGTTGGTGACCACTGATTGTATAACAAAACACTGGCTCAGTCAAAAAAAGATATTTCTTTCACCCATGCTGATTCACCAGGCACTGGAACACAGTAGAAAGTCTGTCTCTCTGAGGTGACTGTTTGTGAGGAGTTCAAATCAAGTTCCTGCTGAGGCTGGAATCCCAAGAGAAATTTTGTTAAAAATCTGATTGCAATTTGTTTTCTTTTTTTAAACTAACCCCACAGATTCAGTTAATCAGCCAGAAGTTACAATTAACATATAAGACAACACAACTCAGGAAAAAGTGAATATATAATGTTTTGATTAAAATTGTACTGCACTACCAAAAGTAACTGTTTTCCACAGCAGACAGTTTCAAGGTCATGGGCACTCCCCCTTCCACTCAACCAAAACAAATTTTAAATACAAGAGAAACAGCTGGAAGCCTGCTGAAATTAAAATGCCAGTGAGCAGTTATGAATACTCTGCTTTCCAAACCAAAGATTAACTGCATTTAGAGCAGTATCTTCAGGAATTCACTGCCAAGTAAAAAAGAAGCTCTGTCACACTTACAAAACTACAACTTTCCACCCAATATTTCTTCTCCAAGTTCATATAATTTATATAACTTACCCCACATTCTGCCACATCTCTGTATTTACCAAAATGCAAAACCTGTCAAGAGGGAAAAGGCACTGCAATCATTCTGTTTCTGACAGCATCCTGAACATGAATCACACCAAAATCACTGAAGCCCAAAGTCCCTCACAGACATCCTGGCAAACCTTTCATCACTTTAACATTTTCTATTCCTCAACAGAAATGTAACAGGTTATGTTTTACTGATGCCACTGGAGCTGAACACAGTGTCCACTCTCCATAGGTTTAACTCACAAACTAGAGAAATACAAGGACCAGAATAAGTAAAATGACAAACATTTGCTAAAATAGTAACTCAGTATTTCACTTACACGTGCATTTGTGTTTGGGTCAACTGTTTCATACACTCCCATGTAAAACTCAGGATCAAACATATCTTGAACCATGCAACGAAATTTCACTAAGCTGTTGGGTTTTAGGTAATGTACAGGAACATCATTCAGTGATGGGACCTGTGAAAAAAGAGATTGTTCTATGCAACTGGTATATTTTGGGGCAAAAAAGTGAGCCAAAACCAGCAGTAAAACTTAATTCTTTGACCATCCAGTATATCCTCCTCCTCAAACCCCTATATATATACGTGCACACAAACATACATATATATACCTCACACTTAGTATTTTCTGAGTGCATCTCCCACCCTAATCTTAGCAGCAACAAAGTGTTTCTATCCCAACACCTTGCTGCAATGGCTGTTACAATTATCAGGCACTTAACAGTTCCCAAATTCTTCCAGTCCCAAATACTGAAAGAATACTTCTTTCTATAAAAGAAGGGTTATAGGTCACTGGAACTGAATGAAAACTGTACAACATTTGAAACCAACTTTTAAATTTAGAATTATTGCAGCTGCAGGATTAAACAGAATTTATCACTTATCTTATTTCTACTTAACAGCACTTCCACCACGCGCTATATACCAGCAGTACTAGAGCAATTTACATGCACAATTGCCTGTAACAAAAGGTCCCGGAAAACCTGTATGTTAATTTCCAAGTCAACATTGGGGAAATCTTTTTTCACACAGTTTTACATCACAATGGGAAAGTAGAAAGAAAAAAAAAAAATCAATGCCTAAGCACGTGGTAACTTCAAAGAGCAAAATTTGTTATATGAATAAGAGTTTTCTAAATCTGAAGAGAATATCTTTGTTGAAAAAGCCCACATCCAACATTAAAATGCAACAAAAGTGGCCCTATAGGAAGTGGCATTTTAACAGAAGTATATTGCCTCACGATTTTTTGAGTAAGAAAATATGATTTCAATTCCTTCTGATGTGGTAAATTTTACTCAATTTTGCCATTTATTAATGGTAGCTTTGATTAAGCTACCATTCAATACTAAGTACACAATACTTTCACTGACAGAGACAGAAAACCAATAATTTTCACCTGTTTTTAGTCATAAGTAGAACAGATTTGATATGAAAGTTTCTAATCCCCTTATCAGTCCCATGTCATTTCTGCTACAGCCTTTTAGAAAAGTATCAGCTTTTGAACTCCACTGTACACACTTTATTTTTAAAGCCTAAAGAACATCTTCCCTGCTAAACTGCACAAACCAGGCCTGACCCAGCCCAATAAAGCACAGTTTTAGTAGGAAAAGCATTTTTTCCTTAAGACCTGAAGGTCCAGACAACTATTTATTCAACCCACACAAGTGTGCAGCATTGTGATAAAAGCTCCTGAGACAAGAGGTTTATAACCAGCAGCTGGTGGTGCACAGTGAGGACTCGCACTTCCCCAAAAATGACAATATTTGTCATCGCCTGCCATCTACTGACTGTGCTCCAGACTGGCAGCAGCCAGCAGCAATGGCCTGGGGGAAGGAGGGTGCTGAAGGCAAGGGGATGGGTGGGCTGCGATTTCACATCCTGGCTTTACACTCAGGTTAAAGCAGCCGAGGTGCAAATTCCACATCCCAAAGCCTGGGCCTGAAATTCAGCTGCACGCTTATCATGAAAAAGCAGGACTTATCAAAAGCAAGCCACTGCAATAAATAAAGTATAATAAACAACGAAGCTTAAAAAAAGTGTAACTCGAAAAGAATAAAACACTCTCACCCAGTTAGTAGCATTATTTTCTTTTAATTTCTCCTTGAAGTATTCGGTTACCTTCTTCTCCCAGTCAGAGTTTGGAGCATTTTGGGCTACAAAAAAAAACCATATCGATGTGCCCATTAGCACCACATAAGAGACTTTTACCCAGCATATCAAACAAACCCAACTTTCACTTTTATCTTACGGAAGTGCAGCTTAGGCTAATTTACTCCCCTTGCAAGTCACTGACTTCCCATTTCAAAGCCTTTAAGGCCAATCAAGCAGCACAGATCCATTCCTGGGAGCGAGGGAAAGCTCCGCATCTCCCCAGCGGGGAAGGGCAGGAGCCGAGGCTCCGCTTTCCGCGCTCTGTCGGCTGCGGGAATTTTTATATCGGTGTTGTTTTAATGAAGATCAAGCCCAGCACGGCAAGAGCCGCGGCAGCGCGGGCAGACAGCGCGCCTTGCTGCAGAACCCAGAGATACACGGGGAACGCAAAACACGCTGTATATAAGACATACAAGACATAAGACAGATCCATCTCCCCCGCCACCACCCCACGAGGGAAAGCGCCGTCCGGTTCTCCCGTTCCGGGCGCTGCCGCCCTGCCTCACCGAAGATGCCCTGCACGATGCTCAGGGGGCTGTTCAGCCAGTCGCCCACGCACGGCATGGCGGAGTCACCCGCGGGGCTGCCGGCACCCTGCGGCCGCCGAGTCCCTCTCGCCAGCCCAGCGCGGGGATCGCCGCCGCTTCCTCCTCCTCCTCTTCGCCCTCCTCCTCCTCTTCCTGCGGGAATGGCGGCCGCGCCCGCCTCCCGCCCCTCACGGCTGCGCGCGGCCAGCGCCGCCATCTTGGGTGCGGGCGGAAGGGGCCGGGGCCGGGACGTGGCCGGGGCGCGGCTATGGCGGCGATCAAGCCCGGGGGAGGCACCGGCACCAACCTGCTCTTCTCCTCCTCCGCCACCGAGTTCAGCTTCAACGTGCCCTTCATCCCCGTCAGCCAAGCGCCGGCCGCGCCGCCCGGCCCCGCGCTGCTGCCCGCCGGTACGGAGAGAGGGAGGCAGGGAGGGAGCGCAGCCGGGAGCGCGGGGGATGTGGGGGTCCCGCCAGCGCCGGGAAGGGCCGGGGCAGTCCCCAGAGCCGAGCCGGGGCTCCAAGGGGGGCTGTGGGCTCGGTCCGTGCGGGCTCGGTCCGTGCGGGCTCGGTCCGTGCGGGCTCGGTCCGTGCGGGCTCGGTCCGTGCGGGCTCGGTCCGTGCGGGCTCGGTCCGTGCGGGCTCGGTCCGGCGTTGGGGCTCCCCGAGCCGGGTGGTGCCTCAGGAGAGACGCTGCTCGGGATTACATTTTCCGCTTTCCGCCACTTTATTTCTTCTGCTTCCCCTGCTTAATGCGTGTGTGTGTGTGTGGATTTAGCGCTGTGTGTGAGGACGGGCGCGGATCGTTGCGCTCCCAGCTCACCGAGGCGTCGGTGCTTCCATTCAGCGCGTACTGAATGTTTCCGCGTTTTTTAAGCCCTTCTCTCACGTTATCTTCTGTTTTGCGGGTTTGAAAATAGCACCTTAAGCAGCCGCCTTAAATACCCTTGCTAATTTAATCCTGGTTCTAATATCCTTTTCTCCTAAAGCTTTAATGGTGTTCCCAACACATGCGCGTGCAATTTACAATCTGGTGTTCAGGCAGTTTCAGATAAAGGAATGGATTTTTTTGGTCAGAGATTAAAGCTTGAAACATTAGAAATGCATCAAATTTTACTGTATTGTACATGGATTGGACTAATGACCTTTGAAGGTCTCCTTTAACCTAAACTGTTTTATGCTGAGTCTTCAAGACTTCATTTCAACACTGTTGTATCTTAGCTGAAATAAGTATTAATATGGCTGGCAACCAGTGTAGTACTTCTCTGTAGATTTAATAAAACGTTTGCCACTTATGGCTTTGGAATAGTTTTTTAGATCAACTACATTTTTTGGATAGGAGGGATAAAAGCATTAAAATATTATTTCTTGAAGTATCTAGGTAGTTGATACATTTACTAATTCCTTTGTGCATGCCTTATAGTTTTTCTTTCATGCAAATACGCATTATTTTTTCATTAAGAAAATAAAACAATCTTTAAGTGCTGATCTGGCTAGTAGCTTTACACAAATGGCTGTCTGGCAATTTCCTGAACATTTTGAAGCCAGCTGAGGATAAAATCTGATGGGATTTTATTAATGTGGTGACTCTTATTCTCTCCATGTGACTTAAAATTTGATCAGGTGAGGATTCATGGTCTTGCAGGTGGAGTGAATTTCAGTGTCAGAGGTTGTGCCCCATTCTGTGTCAGTCCAAGTAAGGCCCATGTTAAATGTTCTGTTTCCACAGTCAAGTGTACTCACCATCTGTCCAGCCAGGATGTTGCTGGGAACTTCTTGCTGAGTGGAATATTTTGTATTTGTAACCATAATCTTTATTGTGTAAATGTAGTAAGAATCAATCCAGGGATTTGTTTGACACCTGACAGCCAAGATTAGGGAGCTGTGTGCAGGCATTCATTTGTTTATCTGTCTCCAAGAGTGATTAGTTAGTGGTGTGAGCTATAAAGTTTGACAATAAGATGCATTCCGTGGCTCAGGTGTGGGTGATGTAACCAATAACCTAAATGTTAGGTGGGAGGAGTGATCCCAGTGACAACGTGGACTGATGTCACTTGTGGTTGTCTGGTGACAGTCTGTGAATGACAAAGTTCTGCCTCCTGTGGGGAGGATGTACAGGAGGTTGTCACAGTCACAGGTGAAGACAGGCTGTTCTGTGCATGGGGAGAACACACATCAAAGCTGTACACCTATTTTTAAACATTTATATGGCGTGCTTGTTTTTACAATGTATTTTTTGCAAAATTAGAAAAAGTCCAGATCAACAGTAACGTTTTGTGTTGGAAAACTGCATGCATATATATACTTATAGGGTTTTTTTAGGCAGAACTTTTGTCACCCTCATTTTGCAAGGAAAGCTGCACTTAGGCTTAAATCTCCAAAACCTATTTGAAACTGGAAAATAGTGGGTGCTTTGTGAATATTCATTTGCTGAAGGCCCTGAGAGCTCTTGGACACACTGCTGCATGTTTATGGTGGCCTGACACGGCGAGGTGAAGGGCCTGCTCTGCTGCCAGTTGTTTGGGAAAGCTGAGAGTTGACAGCGTGGTTTGCAGTGTGCTTCTCTCTGTCCCACATTATGAAATGTGAAAGACCTTTATTTAGTATGTTCAGACCTTTTATTTAGTATAAATGACTTATACTTGCAGCTGGGAGATGATCCCCAGGCCTGACTTCAGCGTGGTCACTGGGTATAAGTGGTTTCAGCATTCTCCACACAGAGATTTTGGCTTTGTTCCTCAAAGTGGGATCAAGTGCTGTAAGGGAAAGCAAGAGGAATTTGAGGCAGGTGATGCCTCAAATTGACACCGTCTGTACAGACTAAATAAAATATGGTTAAAATAGTTCTTTTTAATCTTGGCAGCTGCCTCTTTTATGATTAATTAATTAGAACAGCAGCTTCCTAGGGAGACTTCTCCGTGGATTCCGCTGTACTCCCTTGATACTCCCTATTACAGTTGTGTTGGCTGTGGATAAAGGCATTTTTTGTTGGCTGCTCACAGCTGCAGAGATTCTTAGTCTCTCTGCCTAGGGACTGAGCAGCAGAGATGCTCTGTGGTGTCTTCCTCACAGCCTGGCATAATTTGATTGCCAGGCAGGTGAAACATTGCTGGTTTCTGCAGATGGCACTGACTCTTTGCAAGGTGCTGTTCCCTCAGAAGGCATCCCAGCCTGAGGTGAGCTTGCTGTGAGACCTCAAATCATAACAAACCTCCTTTGTTCCCACTTGTTCCTAGGTCACCACAAAGTAGAAAACTGTGATTGGTCAGGAGTTCTTTTACTTATTTTTTCCATGTGAAGGGGCATTCATGGCCTTGCATATTTTTAAATCCTCTCTTGCAATTATGCAGAATGATTTTTCTGCATGAGAGATGTGGCTTTTATGCAAGTCTAGAGTAGGATTTTTAGAGAGAACTGGACTAAATCCCGCTCATTAAGTGGCTTTGGATCATGAGTTATGGCCACTTTGCAAACAGATGAGAAACCTTGAGAGGGCTCTGCTGAAGGAGCAGGCAAGAATGGATAGTTTAACCTGTAAGGTTGGCCTATTTAGGAATGTTTTTAAGCTCTATCCTAAAAATAGGAGCCTAAAGTCCTATGCTTAGTAGCTGTTTTCACGGTGAAAGGATATAAACCAGGGGTGTTGCATTTGAGGGATAAGTGAAGTTGGGATTTTAGTGCCTGTCAAATTGCCCTGAGAAAGTCCTGACTCCAGTTATATTTTGGTTTCTTATTTAATATTTGTTGCTTTTTCTGTGTACACTGAGTGACTTTCATGGTCGATTTTAAATGTTCTTGAAGACTTGGTATCTTTTGTTTCATTTTATGATGTGCTGAGTCAAGGATGTGTAAACTTTATGGGGGCCAAGAGTTTTGGCCATAGTTGATGGTGTTACAAAACATTTTGACTCCATACAGTGATATGAAGCTCTCACAAGATCTCTGGTGATCCTTTTGTTTTTGCAGATGATTCTGCAGATGTTGGGGAAGAGGACAGCTTCTTGGGTCAGACATCAGCCAGCCCCAACCCTCCACAGACTTTCAGCTACTTCTCTCAAGTTCCCAGCAGCAGTGATCCCTTTGGGAGTATTGGACAGCCACCCTTAACAACTGTTTCAACACCTGCTGGAGCACCAGCCTTCTCCAGACCTCCCACTTCACTTCCACTCGTGTCTGGGTCCCAGGATGGGCAAAATGCCTTTTCACCACATATTCCCAAATCCCAGTCTTACAGTGCACCACCCTCTTCCCAGGTGGGAATGGCGCCGTACCAGCCCCCTCAGCAGAGCTGTCCCCCACCTGCCAGCGCTGCCCTGCCCACAGGGACCCCGCAGCAGCAGGGCTACAACCCCTACAGGCACACCACCCTGAGCAGCAGGGCCAACCCCTACCTCACCCCTCCCCAGCTGCAGCAGAGCCACCCCCCTGCCACAGCGTCCCCTGTGCCACCCGTGCAGATGTACCAGACACCCCCGGGGCCACTGACACAGGTACGTGACTCCTTCCGGCTGCCACAGCAAAACAAGGCACTTTCCTCTTTCAGCTGTGTATTTAATCTCTTGAAGATTTTTCTTCTCTGCAAAAAACCCCAGAAGAAGTCTTGAACCGTTTACAACAGCAAAAGCTTTTCACTAGAAGTAGCTTGGAACTGTTGTTGCAGGAAACCTTCCTGATCTTTGAAGTGAGTGTACCCTGAGGCTGTAGCTCTGTGAGCCTCTGGGTATCAGAAACAAAGCCAGGTTGTGAAATTCTGTTGCTCTTTTCTGTGGGTTTCTGAGTTTGCTGAGTTTCAGCTGTGTTGCTGCATTTTTTGTGCCTCAGCTTTAAATCAGGTCATTCAGCCATTTCAAAGATATGGGCTAAAATCTCTTTTTCAGCTGGTTTTGTTGGTGAAGGCAGAATTTTTTGAAACTAAGTCACATAAAATTGTCAGCAAATTCTTTGAAACACATTGGTTGAGGATTTTGTGTGATATAAAGCAATATAATCTTAATTGTTTTCTACCTGCACAAAAGCGTTATTAAAGTAATGCCAATGGGTTAATAAAACCTGGCACGTTTGCCTTGAAGATACCAAAAACTGTTTTTATTTTTGCCTGAGCTATTATTATATTTCTGTTATCGTTAATAAAGAATGTGAAGGTTATATAATGACAAAGCATAGCAAAGGCAGTAGAACCTAAACAGTCTGGAGTTTTAGATTGTATAATTTCAAAACTTCTATTTATTGGATTTTATATATTCTACAATACTTTCCTGCCCTTTTTTTCCCCCTTCTAATGTATAATTTCAGAACTTCTATATATTGGATTTTATATATTATAAAATATTTTGGTGCCTTTTTTTCTCCCCTTTTTAATGTATTATCAACCAGTGCAGTTGCTGCTGCTGACATCAGTTGATTTAGTTGTACTGACTGGGATTTTTGTACAATTTGTATGAAATCAGCTTTATGTAGGCTGCAGACCCTTTCAAACTCAGTTACCTTTCTTGTGCCACCAATGCTACATTTGAGTGTGGAATCTTCCTGTTCTGGTCACTTTGCAGGAAGAGAGCTGTAGCTGAAGCGGCCACTTGTTAAAGTTGGGAGTCTTTATGCAAAAGCATAATTATGTGTAAATGAACAATGTGAAGAATATGTTTTTATTTTCATGTCACATTTTGTGGTTGTAAGAAACAAGTTCAGCTCTTTTGAAAATTTAAGAGAATATTTGAAATCTCACTGATTTTAGGTCATCATGATGCTAAACCATGGTAGTTTTTAACAGTGTTTATAGAAATGAAATTCACATTCTTTCACAATTTGAGAAGGTGTAAGTTCTTAAACACATGATGAAGTGGACAATATTTTAGAATGGAAGGTAATGTTCTTGGGGAGAAAAGCATGTTAGAAATAAAGGTTCAGAATATTTTCTATAGTAAAGTATAAAAGAGTTCTGTAAAAACCCCATGAGACTGAGAGGCTGAGCCCATCTCTTTTCAGTTTCCACCGTCCCAGTCCCAGCTCCAGCCTGCCAGGCCTGCAGGGCCCCTGGTCCCAGCCCCTCCTGTGCTGCTGCAGAACCAATACGAGCCAGTTCAGCCCCACTGGTTCTACTGTAAGGAGGTGGAGGACAAGCAAATATGGATGCCATTCAGCATTCTGGATTCTGCAAAACTAGAGGAGGTCTATAATTCTGGTAAGTCCTGTCTTATCCAGAGGTGAGCAGAAGGAGGAAAGGAAAATGTTGGGGTTAATGCCACTCATGTGTGTGGCAGTAATAAGTAATGTTTTGAAGATGTGTTTTGTGCCAGTTAATTTCACTGACATCACCACTGCTTGATGCTGTGATCTCAGTGTTGAGATGTACCATCCCAAATAGGTATCAGATTTTCATATAGAGCTCTTTGTTATTTGTGTCTTGAGTGTTCTTTTTGTTAAACTTTGTCAGTTCTGGAATAACTATTTGGGAGTTTTTCCAAGCTTTTTGTTACGTACAGAGCATATAGGAACATTCTAGAAGAATCACAGTGTTAAAGGTTCTCTGCCATGGTGTGACTGTCAGTCCTAATTGCCTCATATTGATCACAGGAGTGGCTGGGGCTGGGCTGAGGGAGCAGAGATGTGTTAGTGTGGTAAGCACCTGGCTGTGTGTCCCAGCCCATCCTGACCCTGAGAGCACAGTGTTGAGCACAGGGCAGAGATGTGTTAGTGTGGTAAGCACATGTGGCTCTGTGTCCCAGCCCATCCTGACCCTGAGCGTGGTGCTGAGCACAGAGCAGAGCTGTGTTAGTGTGGTAAGCACACCTGGCTGTGTGTCCCAGCCCATCCTGACCCTGAGGGTGGTGCTGAGCACAGGGCAGAGATGTGTTAGTGTGGTAAGCACACATGGCTGTGTGTCCCAGTCCAGCCTGACCCCGAGAGCGTGGTGCTGAGCACGGACGGTGGCCGCTACGACGTCTTCCTGTACGAGCGCGTGAGGAAAGCCGTGTACTGGGACGAGGAGCCCTCGGAAGTGAGGCGCTGCCTGTGGTTCTACAAGGGAGACAAGGACAGCCGCTTCATCCCTTACACTGAGGACTTCAGTGACAAGTTGGAGGTTCGTAAGTCGCAGAGACCTTGTGAGTTCATTGTGTTAATCACCTTTGAAATAGTTCTTTCATGAAAATGATTTTCAGAGTGCACTTTCTGGAACATAAGCAAATCTTGGAAAGAGGAGTGTCTAGAAGGCCATATTGCTCCTGCATCAGTCCTGCATTGCTGTGACATAAAATCTATTGAAGCAATGTGACCCCCCCTGCACTGGGAATAACGTGCTCTGACTCCATGTTGCAGAAGGCTGAATTAATTGCATTTATTAAGCTACATTATATTACATTAATACTGTACTATGCTAGAACTATATCATACTAAAAAGATAATCAAGAAAAAACCTGTGACTGTCTCCAGACAGTCATGACACAGCTTTGACCCAATTGGCCAATCGATCCAAACAACCATCACTGGTGTCCAATTAACAAATCACATGGTAAACAATCTCCATAACACATTCCACATGTGCCAAACAGGAGCAGCAAATTGAGATAAGAATTGTTTTCTTCTTTCTCTGAGCTTTCTTACTGCGTCTCACAGCTTCCCAGAAAAATCCTGGGAGAGAGAATCATGTCTCTCTCTGTTCAGAGAATGTGAATACCACAAAAATCTGCTTGACTAGTTTTACATGTGACATTTTATATAAAGAAAGTTATGTAAATTTTAGCTGTAGCATTACATGAGGCCACAAAATACTGAGAAGGTTGCCATGCTGATTTTGTGTAACTTGTTTTCTGTTTCAGGCAGAATATAAAAGGGCTGTAACTACAAATCAATGGCATCGGCGACTTGAATTTCCAAATGGGGAGACAATTGTCATGCATAATCCCAAGGTAATGGATTTTGGCAATTGTGTCTTACAGGATTCATTAAGGGGGAGTGAGCAAATGGATGGAAACATAAATTGAATGTGGTCTTAATCTTGCATGAAACATACCAGTTGTTTGTTCTAGGTGTGTGTGCATTAAAGATGATCAAGTTTACAGAACACTGAACTTGTGCTTGCTTCAATGTGCTGTCATGTGGTTAAAAGACAGTGCTTTCTGAAACCCAAAGAGAATAAGGGTTTGCATAGTAAATATTTTGGCTAAGGATAACTGGCAGGAAATGGTAAGCAGTTTGAATTAGTTTAACCTCAGTCTGTACCAAATGAAATTAAAACAAAGAGCTTTAATGTGGAGAAGAGCATTAATCCAGCTATAAGGTAAATAGTTTCTTTGGGGCCTGAGAAGGTTTCTGCTTATTTTTAGGCCATGAGAAAGTATAGCAAGACAAGCTTTAAAAATGAACAGTCGCATGTTCTTCGTGAGACTTCATGGACTTCAGCCTTATTGATCAATACTGTTAACTGTTCACTTATCACAGATACAGAAATTAATACACAGAACTATCCAAGGGACAGAAAGGATCATGGTTGCTCCTACTTAAAGTGTTTAATAATCCTGATTAGAGAATTCTGTCCAGTAAAAATCTAGAGAAGGAGCATTTAAACCTCTTGATATCATAAATATGAGTTGAGACTGTAAGTCATATAAACAACTGTACTACTGAATTACTCACTTTTTAGCTTTTTTGGACTACTTCAGATGTTATTCTTCCCTGAAAAGCACTGCACTTATTTTTTTCCATTTTCTCCTTGTGATAGGAGAAAATACCTATAAATCAGGTAGCATTCAGTTTCCTCACATTAGCAGTCATCCGCTAAGGAAGAGTGGATACTGGAGACTAGGAAGGAGGAGCTTGAATAATGCTTGGCTGAGGAGTTAAAATGGTTCAGAATTGCTGAGCAGGCCCAGCTTCTTCACCTAGTGGTTACTTTGAGTCATCTGTTTTCTTTTCACACTAATGAGGATTTTGTGGAAGAAAACATTTGATTTTCAGATGCAAGGTAAAGCAATCAAAAAGTATGTTCAACCATGCAGTGCTTTCAGACTAACAGTGTGAGTCATGAGGTTTTTCTGTGATGGGAATTGGACACTGTGTTTGTTCCAGGTCATAGTTCAGTTCCAGCCTTCTGCCACACCAGATGAATGGGGCACCACTCAAGATGGGCAGACAAGGCCAAGGGTAGTGAAACGTGGAATTGATGATGATCATGATGAGATTCCTGATGGTAGGTGATGAGATTCCTGGTGTACTTGGGACAGTCTGCACTGGGAGCAGTCAGTTTGGATCTGTGCAGAAGCTGGACAATAGTAGGTGGAGTGGCTGTGTGCTGTTCATACCTGGAGTCTAAAAGTTAAATTTATTCCTTCATCTCAGCTGTTTGCTGAGGTTTTCTGGTTTTGGGGTGTTTTAATCAAAGGAGTCCTGTGGGCTCTGTTATGTCCTGAACCATGTTATGTAAAAGACTTTATTAAACAAGTGTGTATTACACTTGCTAGACACCGAACTGCACTCCTGCTGTACATATTGGTACTCTGAATGTTTTTTTTTTTTTTTTTTTTTTTTTTTTTTCCTACAGGAGAAATGTCCCAAATTGACCATCTGGTATTTATGGTTCATGGCATAGGTCCTGTATGTGACTTGAGGTTTAGAAGCATTGTTGAATGTGGTAAGTTTGGGCTTGTATAATGAGCAGTTGTATTCTTGCTGTTTGAATGTGGCTCTCTCTAGCTCATATTCAAATAAACATATCTTTATGGGTTTTTTTTAAAGAAAAGTCTCTGTTAACAAATTCAGTTTTTTCATTATTATTTTCCAAAGGCAGAATCTGTGTTCTGTCAAACTTGAAGCTTTAGCTGTTATTACTAGTACTCAATATTATGCTTGTGTGGTGATTTGGGTTTTGGGATGTGTAGTGAGGAGTTTTTTTGGTTGATTGGTGTTTTTGCTTTTTCTTTCTGTGGTGTGAGTGGATGTGTTTGCTTTGCATGGCTTGTATGTGTGGTGTGGTTTTGTGTTTGCTTTTTTTTTTTTTTAATACACTCTGTTACAACTGAGTAAATAAAGCAAGCCCTGTCTGCTTATGGAGTGAACAGGCAGTCATTGTGAGATAAATAGAAGCTTGCTAAAAAATCCACTCTAAGAAAAATGTGTACCTTTTTATTGTTAGGATAGTAATATTTGGAAAGATTTTTCTATTTTCCATCATTTGTATTCTATCTGGGAAATTAAGGGGAAGGAGGAACTATTTATGTGTTACTTGAGTACTGCAGCTATCAAATTTTCATTATTCTTTTTCTTCACAGTTGATGATTTTAGGACTGTTTCTCTGAAGTTGTTGCAGACTCACTTTAAGAAGTGTTTGGAGGAACGCAAAGTGAGCAGGGTGGAATTCCTTCCAGTTCACTGGCACAGTTCTCTGCATGGAGATGCAACAGGTGTAGACAGGTGAGGTGAGGGTGTTCTTTAATGTTCAAAACATCTTAAAAGCTGCTGTTTAATGGGTTATGGAAAGTGGAGAAAAAGAGTAGTTCATATGCACATGACTGGATTAGAGAACTGCAGATTTTTTTTTAATTAACATTTTGATGAGGAGTATTTGGAAGGCTGGAAAGGCATGAGGTGTATCTCTCTTGTTTATTTTGATGCACTCAACTTTTCAGTACTGGATTTGCATGTGAGTGGCCAATGTATGATACTTGATGATGAGTGAGTGTGTAGTGATTGTGATCACGAGGATGAAGTGGTTAGCCTGGAGATGTTTTGTCCATGAGGTGTGCACAGTTTAGAGTGGAGAGGTTTCTAATCTTTACTTTCCTGCAGTCTGATTGAGTTTGACCCTAGCAGTTGTTTCTGAGGAAGGCATTGAGCCCTCTGTCCAGTCCTAGAGGAGTGCCTGAATTATGAGTAGGCACTTGAGCTAAGGAGTTCTTTTTCTGAAGCAAAGTATCTGTATTTGGGTAGGAGTGTTACAGCATTTAAAAATTTGCTTTAAATCCCTTCTCTTTGCCTACCCCTTTTCTGTGACTTCACATTTCAAGCTGTTTCCCTTGCTCAAAGCTGGGAAGTAAAAATTGTGAGGGTGGCAACCTGTGTCACTTAAAGCAATGCTGATGTCCTCCAGACTGTTGTAGCTCAGTCAAATCTATCTTCTTTCCTTCAGTCGTGGTGTTTTATTTGCATTTGAGCACTGCATGAGGAAGGATCCTTATTCTGTTAATCAAACCAGGCAGTCTCAAGTCTATTGCAATTCCAGTGCAGCTGTCTTGACTCCAGGCAGGCAGATGGTGGTGCCAAGCTTTTTCTTCAGTATTACCATTCAGTGATTCTAATTTTATATGTGAGTTCCTCTTCCTCTTCCACTTCAATCTGCTCACCAAACTTCCCTGGTACTTTGAGAGCAGTGTTGGAATAGAGAAGAGGTTATTTCAGGCATCCCTTCAGCCTGAAGAGAAAGAAAAGGAGCTGTATCTTTCTCAAATATTACAATCAGCAGGTAGCATTAATGTGTGACTATGCAACGAGGCCTGAAGGCTGTATGGCTTTTTAAAATCTCTTTAGAGACCCATTCTGTAGCATTTACATTGCATTGATTTCAAAAGCTAACGAAGTTCTCACGAGCGTTTCTTAAAAGCCTTTCAAGCTTTTAATGATTCTGTGTTACCAGGAACATAAAGAAAATCACTTTGCCGAGCATTGGTCGCCTGAGGCACTTCACCAACGAAACGCTGCTCGACATCCTGTTCTACAACAGCCCCACGTACTGCCAGACCATCGTGGATAAAGTGGGCATGGAAATGAACCGCCTGTACGCGCTCTTCATGAGCCGCAACCCCGACTTCAAAGGGGGAGTCTCTGTGGCTGGGCACAGCTTAGGTGATTGTCTGAGGAGTGCTGCTTTTAGCCCAAATCAGTTCTTCTTAAAAGGAAAATGGCCCATTTGTTATGCCTCAAATTAGCTGTTAGGACAGGGCCGTCTTTCAGAAAACAGCTGACAAACTCCTCTCTACAGCTGAGTTCATCTGGCTTTCAGAGAAAGTACTTCCCTTTATGAAAACTCAGTGTCTAATCTGTGTTTATAAGTTAACAGGTTATCTACTGTCTGTTAGGTGGGTGATGTCTATGTCTCAGAACCCCCAGTTCGTAAAAGTACAATAAGTACAATCAGTTTTTGGAAGATAGAATAAGTGTTAGAGCAGAATATTGACATACTGGTTTGGACTGGAACTTTTCCTCCAGTTCGTCAGTCTCAGGAGTTTAAGGAAAAATAGTTTAGTCATGGCAACTACATAAAGCATGAACAGGGAAGAAAAGGGGTTGCTTTTAACTGAGAGGGATTATATTCAAGTTAATATATGCGTATTTTAATTCAGCCATCTCTTGATCTGTGACATTACTATTGCATATAAATCTTGCTCAAGATTTAGGAAGAGGAAAACCTGATACTTTTCCCAAATCAACTCTAATTCCTGTTTGCAGGTTCCTTAATTCTATTTGACATACTGTCTAACCAGAAGGACTTGGCTTCATCAGTAAATTCTGGACCATTCTCTGGTGTTAATGGGAGTGTGAAGGACGTGGCTGTTCATGATAAACAGGTAATTTGCATGCTGGTCTTTCCAGGCCTATAGATCTGGAATTTTCAATCTTTTTTTTCTTAACTTTTCAGAATTTAGTAGCTGATCCAAGTTTGTGGGTTTTGATAGTACATTAAGCATGTTAATGGAAAGATGCTGTTCTATAAATATTGTCATTTCTCAGGACAAATTAATTAGATCTGTCTTAAGTTTCATGTAGGCCAGTAATGAGTTTTGATTTGACCCTTGTGAACATGTAACTTGGTCTAACAGTAAGTGATGGGGCAGATGTATAACAGAGAAAGAATCTGTGTTTAGACTAGAAATGGTGATCAGTTGTTTGAGGAATAAAAGGGAGCATTTTTGTGAGTGTGTTGTCTCTCATAGTAATTTTTAAATCTTTATTTTGCAGTTCCATTTTAGTGGAAAGTCTTTATCCTGCTTCACTGAAAATGGATATATATTTACAGAGCTTGCTTGATAATGTTTTTAAGACAAAATAGTTAAACTTGATTTTACTTGCTGCTTACTGGTTGTCCACTGTTAGAGGGTGTGATTCTGTTTGTGTGCTGTTTTGTTGAGATGACTGAAGATACCAGTTCCTTGGGCTCCTCCATTGCTACTTCTGCTGATGACCTTTGTGAGGCTGAAGCAGAGGAGGATGTTCCCACTCTGCAGAAGACTCTGGAAATGCTCAGTTTGGCAGAGTACGTTAGCACCTTCGAAAAGGAGCGGATCGACATGGAGTCCCTGGTACAGAAATGTTCACTTGACTTTTAGGGCTGCCCAGGGAATGGAGGTTTATGTCAGGCTTTTCTTCTCGTTGTTTTGGTTTTCCTCTCACTTCTGTGGCCATGAGAGCAGTTGCAAAGATAAGATAGTCAATCAGCTTGAAGTCTGAGTGTTCTGCAGCTCTTGTTGTTTTTTCTTGATGTGGTATATCTGCCCCAGTTATGTTAAGGCACTTTGTGTCATGTCTTCTTAAGTTTTTGTATTTTCTGTAGCTTTATAAACTGACGTAACAAATTCATAAGTCATTGCCAGTATGAAATTATTCATTTTATTAGAAAAGTTGAATGTACTTTTTTTACTAGAAAAATATATTTTGATGTGTGTGTTTGATGTTTGTTTCTTTAGCTCATGTGTACAGTTGATGATCTGAAGGAGATGGGCATACCTCTTGGACCAAGAAAGAAAATAGCTAATTTTGTAAAAGACAGAGCAGCCAAGCAGGTAAATACATATTTCAGGGTGGAAATTAAAAGTTGTTAAGCAAATGTAACTGACTTCCTTGCTCTGGAGTAGCTTCTATTCTTCTTAACATCCTGAATATATTGAAGGAATTTTGACAGCTGTGAAATTAACCTTTTTTCTCTCTAACTTTAAAAATTTTCTCAAAAGGAACAGAAGAAAGCAGTAGCAGAAAAGAAAGCAGTGCTGGCTGCCACACTCCAGACTCAAGAAGACACCCAGAAATCAAAAGAGGCAATTTCTTCTGTCTCACCTTCAGAGTCTGGTCAGATGCACTCAAAGAGGAAGCTCCCAGTTGGTGCATCTGTGTCTTCTGTGAACATTGACTATGAGTATTTTGAAGTTGGAACTGGCCAGGTGAGACTGTGCAGATCTAAATGATTTGAACAATTTAAAGGATTTGATCAATCCTCTCTTTTTACTATATTTTTTTTTTTTTAATGTTGATGATACTTTGCTAGTTCCTTTGAAGCTGACGGTTCTGAGCGATGATGTGTCTGATTTCTGTCTGGTAGGTTTCTGTGGTTTACAGTGCACTGGACTTTGAACCAGATATTTTCTTTGCTCTTGGTTCCCCTATTGGTGTGTTCCTTACTGTGAGGGGTGTGGAGAAGATTGATGAAAACTACAGACTCCCTACCTGCAAGGGGTTCTTCAATATCTATCACCCAGTGAGTAACACTGCTTTTGACATTTGATTTTAGTTGAGGTAGATGACAAAAAAGGCACAATACTAAGTTCTACCTTCTGAGCATTACACCTCTTGTTCCTCTATGTACATTTCCTAAAACACTTCCAGGCATGGGTTGTTTTCATATTTGCCTTGTTTCTTTTCAGAATTAAGGAAGTTTTTTTGGTGGGAGATGTTAGGGGTTTTTTTAATTAATTTGAGGCTACTCTTGTGGATTTTTATGGAATATTTGTATTTTTTACATGCAGTGTTTGTTCTCCTCTGTCTCATTTTGTTTAACAATTTTAGGTTGATAGAGATTGAGTGCAAGGAAATCTTGCTGTTTTGTTTCTTCATTAGAATCTTCTTCTGTAAGAGAAAAAGACCAAAGAAGATCATGAACCTGCTTAATTAGTCATGAACTGAATTTCTGTAAATTCAAATAGTGCAGAATTCAAAAATGGTTATTTATAATCCATAAATAGGGATTTTTTTCACTGAGATTTGATAATTGGAATAATTTTAAAGATAATTAAATGACAATGTGTTGTCTCTTAACAGCTTGATCCAGTAGCTTACAGGTTAGAACCAATGATTATTGAAGACATGGATTTAAAACCAGTTCTCATTCCACATCACAAAGGCAGAAAAAGACTTCATCTGGGTAAAAAGAAAACTTGTTTCATATGGATCCTATTCATTATTTCTCATTTGATGCATTAGAATATTGTAAGATTTTAAGAGATTAATTAATGTCCCTGGATATCTGACTCCATATTTTTCCTAAACATCATAGGTGATTTCACCCAGCCCCATAAGTTGGGCATTCACAATTCCATTCAAAAGTAATAATTATATTTCCTCCAGATTGAACTTTCTCTTTACCAAAGTTCCATTAAAACATTGCTGTACATTGCTTGATCTCCTTCATTTCTAAGAAGCTGTGAAGCAGAAACTAAATTTATTGGTGTCCCTAATGACCACCATGAGGTGTTTTACCAGAGCCTGTTCAGTGTTGGAAACCCTGAGGGAAAAAAAAGGAGGTTCTGGAGCCACTGAAGGGCAGAGACTGATTTTATTGCTCATGGGTGCACTTCAGACCAAGGTGCTCTACTTGAATTTTGCACATCTAATAAGGAAAGTCAGTTTTTCTGTTGTGCAAGTTCACAGAGCCCTCCTGAAAGCCTCTGTTCAGGCACTTGGAGAGATTCTGCAGCATCTGTCCTTTGGAATTGTCCATTACAGTGAGTCTGCTTTGCTAGACTACATAAGATACTTAATTCAGGTTACAGCTCTCTAAAAGTGTGCATAGTAAAGGAGCAAAATATGGTCTATTGCTCCTTACTGTTTTGACTTTGATCTAGGTGGATTCATTGACCCATTCATTAAGAAGTCAATTGTGTATTAATTGCATTTCACCTAATCTTTTAAAATGGAATAGAGAAGCACTAAACACACATTATGACATAGCAGGCTTATTTCCCCTGGTAATTGGGATGTTTATTGAACAGAACCTTATCATTCTGCTTTTAGTTGGTAATTTTAAATCCTTCTGAAGTAAATTTTTTGTGTTTTTCCTTTCTCAGAGCTGAAAGACTCTCTGTCTCGGATGGGATCTGATCTGAAGCAGGGCTTTATTAGCTCTCTGAAGAGTGCGTGGCAGACCCTTAATGAATTTGCACGTGCTCATACATCTTCAACCCAGCTGCAAGCAGAGCTGGAGAAAGTAGCTAACCAAATTAAAGAGGAGGAAGAAAAGCAGGTGGTGGAAGGTACATGGACACATTATTGGTTTTTCTGTAACTTACTTGTCTCAAATAAGTTGACACTTGAGTATCCCAGTGACTGTTTGCTATTGATTTTCCTGACCCTGTTAAGGAGGTCTCTGCTAAACACCAGGTTCCCACTAAAGCTGATCCTCCTCAGCTGGGTGTGGGAGAGAATTACAATGAAAGCTTTGTGGGTTGAAGTGAGTTCAGCGAGAGATAACTCAGCAGTTACTTCTTAAGAAAACTGTTTAAATTGTTAGGAAAGAAGTAAGCCTATAGTTCAGTAACATTTCTGAACCATGCTGGGCAGTTCAGGTTATTATTGTCTCATCAAAAACACTTGGAAATTACAGTAGAAAAAATGGGTAATATTTCTTAATTACAGTGAAGCAGGCTGTGCTTGAAAATAGTTTAAATGTGAAACTCTTTGATTTTAGCTGAGAAGATCACTGAAAGTCCAGACCCTCCAAAAGATGAAGATGTTTCGGTGAAGGTTGGGATGCTGAATGGAGGGCGTCGCATTGATTATGTTCTACAAGAGAAACCAATAGAAAGCTTCAATGAGTACCTGTTTGCTTTGCAGAGTCACCTGTGCTACTGGTAAGGGGAGATAGCTGTGATTCCAGAAATGCTCTTAAGGGACACAGTATATGTGATTGTCCAGGAGTGTCAGGCTCAGGGTGTTGTGCTTGGATGTCACTATTTGTTAATCCTATTTCAAAGTAAAATTCTGTGTTAGCACACAGTGAACAAATCTGTTTGCAATAAAGACATTGCACGCTGTTCTCTTGACTTTTGACACTCCAAACAAGCATTTTTAGCTACTGCCATTTTCAGAACAAGGAGAATTCTGGAAGCGTTTTCACAACTGTAGCTTTTTAAATAAAACTGTTCATGAAGGATTTTTATTACAGTACAGTAAGAGGTAAAACTTAATTGCTTCTTCTGGCAGAGCAAAGGATATGTGAACTATATTTAACAACACATCTTGGTGTATAATAGCCAACCTTGGGTGTCAGCTGTGAGCTGTGCACAGTGGTGTTGGTGAGGGAGGAGTGACTGGTCTCTCATTCTGAGTTCAGCAGGTGCTGGACAGAGTGCCCTACCTTCTTCCTGACGGTTTTGATTTTCAGTAGGTAATTTTAGCAGCAGGTGTTTTTTTCCAGAGGTTAAAACACAGCTCTGAAGGTGTTTCCTGAAGGGTCTCATTAGAGCCATCATCACCTCCCGGTGGAAGCTCAGCACGCCAGAGGAGAGGTTCCCGGGGCTGCTGTGAGCCCTGGGCTCTGCCAGGGTGACCCGGTGGTGGCAGTGCCGTTCCACAGGCAGGGCTGAAGGCACTGGAATTCCTTCCACAGGGTGGCAGCCGATCACTGACAGCATTTTAAACGCTTGGTACCCGTGGCTGTTTTTGTCATTCGAGTAAGGAAGATAAGCACAGTGATTAATGACCCAAATAGGAGAGCATTTTTTCCTAAGGAATGGAGGGAAAAGCTTTAAATGAAATGCTCTGAGTGTTGGAGAGATTGGAGCTTCTGTGTTGAACCTTCTGCTAGCTTGTTTGCTGCTCATTTAATGCAGAGACCATCAAGAAATGTCTGTGCTGAATTGTGGAAAATACATGTATTCACTTAGCTTGCCTGTTTAATTCTGTACTGGTGTTCTGCAAATTATGTTCCTCACGTTTGGAGGATCACAGTTCTGACCATTTCAATCTCCTTCACTGGCTCCCTATATCATTTATTTTAAAAAGCACAGAAAGCTGTCCTCATCTAACAACTCTGGCAGCTCTGGAACTTTGTTAAAATTTCCCTGTTTAGCATTGTTATTTTGTTGTATTGTTAATGTCTGTTTAAATAGAATTTTATAGATGAAGAAGAAAATTAAGTCTCTTCATGTTAAGTTTAGATTCAGACAGCCTGAAGCTCTGATTTTGGAAAAGAGGAGGGAAAACAGCCACTTGAAAACATGGCACTTGAATTATACTAATCTTTAAATTATTGGGGAGCTATCTAACATTTTAGTGGCAAGCAAGAGAGGAAGACTATGGGTGTTTAACATAGTCTGTTTACAATTAAGGGCCTGCAAGTTAGAGAAGAATTAGAGTATTGCTGCTAGAACTTGGCTAGTTAGTGGAGTGGGACAAAATGAGTAGAATGAAATGTGGAATATATTCAGGACTAAAAGTGATACATTATTTGAGGAGATTAAGATGAGGAAGTAACAGCAAAGAAGAGGATAGAGGAGGAGATTTAGAGTTGCAGCATAGGACGTTAGGGAGAACAGGAGGAGGAAATGCCCTAGAAAAAAGGTAAATGCATGGGCTAGGGTTGATAGCAGAACTAATTCAAAACTTGGGTAGAATTACAGCTTGAAGGAAGCTGGTAGAGGTAAGGCCATGTTCATAAAAAATAAATACTAGGCCAAGAGGTTGTGCAGACTTTTTGGAAAGCTGAAATAAGATGGAATGTGACTTAGTTCAGTATGGTCCATCTTCTAAGTCTCCTAACTTTTTCCTCTTTTTTTCCCCCCTTCCCTTTTTTTCCTTTTGTTTGATTTATTTCATTCTTTGTAGGGGATCTGAAGACACTGCTTTGCTGTTTCTCAAGGAGATATACAGGACCATGAATATCAATCCTGAGCAGCCACAGCATTGATGTAAAAATATGAATTTGTAAGTTTGCTCTAATGTAACTTCAGTCCTCATATCAAATTCAGCTACAGTTTAGATGTCTTTACTTTCCCATTCTTCTCTGAAATTTAAATTATGAAACAGACAGCCATTAAATGTCATTTTGATTGCCAAAACAATTTCTAAACTTGAATGCAGAGGAAGCCTTTGAGTTCTTCCTTTCATTTCCAGAAGATATCTGATGTTATTGCTTTTGGTACTGGATAATAATTGCCATTACAAATACAACCAAAAGATGATCTCTTTCTTATGCTTCTTCCTCAGTTCTGTTGTACAGTGAATGTTCAAGAATAGGAAAATTTGGTGAAATTTGATATGATGAAACTTTATTTACAGTGCACTAAGAGCCCCAAAAGTGTTTCACTAGTGTAATGTAAATACTGGATTGGTTGACCAGTGGTGCACATTTGTCAGCAAAAAGCTGTTTGTCTCCTAAGAAGGTGTTAAACATTGCTATTGATAAAGTAATGAGACCTTTATATAGGGCAGTATTTTATGGCATGGCAATTTGCTTTGAAAAGAAACCAAATACATGTTACAATTGAGTATCTTAGAGCTGAAATATTCTTGCAGGTATTTTTATTTTAAGATGTAGGTTTCCAAACTAAGGATTGGTATTGTACCAGTTTGCATCACTGAATGTTACAGAAAAGAAAATGCTTTCTTTTGAGAGGCAGGGAAGAAATAATATGCACCTTGCCTTTTTGGAATCATACAAGATAGTTTCTGATGTATTTCTCCATTTTCAGAAGAGCTGATAATGTCAAGGTACATAAATACCCAGCATGAAGAGAAATGCTTGACATTTCAGAGGAATATTTTAGGTATCTTTCATTGCTACCATACAGTTTTAGTACTCTTTTGTAACAGAATGATTCTGATGGTCAGTTGATAGCAGCTTTTTTTTTTTTTTTAATAAAATGTCAAGGCTGATCAAATGAATTTCTTTAAAGCATGGAGAAGTAAAAGGAAAAAGGCACCAGCTGGCTGCACAGCTCTGACAGTGGTGTATCAGTCATCACAATGGCTTATGCACAGTCTCAAGTCACAGTTGCAGAATTTTTCTCTACTTCTATTTCTTTATGCTGGCTGTGGTTGGGATCACAGGGATCTCGCTGCAAAGGAAATGCCTTTAAGCCTCATTGCAGGGGGGAATGGGGTGTGATGATTTATCAGTGCAGAGCTCAGGGGAGTTTGTTGCTCAGCTGCAGCAGACACTGGGATAATTGTGGTTTTTTCATTGAGAACGACACTGTTGGGGGACAGATTAGCAGGATGTCACACAGCAAAGTACAGTCAGGGAAATCTGTAAATCCATCAGGAGTTGCTCAGAATGTCCCCCAGCACAGGCTTGACTGGACAGGGTTTGAGACTGGGATTCAGATATCAGAGGCTTAAATGGGAGGGCAAAATGCACTGAAGTGGTGTCTTGGGAAGGCTGCACACCACAAGACCAGGATCTTTTCCACATGACAAGAAATGTCTTTACATGTGCTGTGTTAAATATTATCACATCACAAGGAATCTGGAATTACTGAAGTGGAAAATTCTCCCTCAGTGTTAGCAGTTATGTGCATTTTTCTCTTTTTTTCTGTTCTTTTCAGACCTTCAAATGTGAAGGGTGGTAGCAATTATTATCAGTGGTGCCTCTGACAGCAACATCCATTTTATTTTGCATGAGTGACTTGATTTAGATCATCTAGGAGCTGCTCTTTGTGAAACAGTAGTGTAAGGTTTCATATAAACATTGGAAAGAGGTGCACCAGCAGATTAAACCTTGGACATATGAACTGTCACCATCCTTACTAGGATAATTTATTACCAAAAGCTAAAGAATCTAACAGCTGGTTAAAATGTATAATGAATGACACCCTATTAGCAGTTGTTGTGAGCTTTTTCTGTTTGCAGTTCTAATTGCCAATTTGTGTCCACAGAAAGTACATTTCAGAGGCTTACTGTATGAAAAGTTTGTTTAAAAACCTGTGGATTTTTAGATCTTTTTGAGCCCTCTTGAAATTGAATGCTGGCATATTTAATATGATTAGTACTACTGCAGGAATAGAAAACCTGATAGATTTCCTATTTCCAATATGTCCATGTTCTGTTCTCTCTGCACAGCCACACCTGTTGCTCCAGCAGACCTGGTGAAAAACCCTCTGAAGAACATCTGGTATTTTCATAGTTGCATATGAGAGGATAAACATCAGAGGTTTTGTTCCTGCCAGTCCAGAACTTGCTTGGATTCTACCTTCTTGAGTCACTTCAAGCAAACTTATGAGATGATCAGGACTGTCTGTCATTCAGGAGATGGATGGAACGACACAATTTTGATCTTAAATCAGCTCAGTTGTACCATTGCCAAATAGAAGGGTGATTGAAGGTTTTTTTGGCACACAGATCATAACTTCTCTCCTGTCTCAGCTGGCTGCCAGATATGCTTTGCCTACTAAGGTAACATGTCCTTAGTAAAAAGGACTTGATGAGAAACAGCAATAATCTACTTTTCTTGACACATTTGTTCATGCCCCTTTAAGAAATGAAATGTGAACTGAAGTTATAACCATCTTCAATACAGATTACACAAACCAGTTCATATTTACTAAAAACTAGCAACCAGAATGATTTTCTTACTATTGTAAGTGTGATGGAGATTATTTTATAAAGACCTTTTTAAGCCTCTGTTAAGAGTTTTATTGTGGCTTTTTTTAAGTAAAAATGAACTTTTGCCTTTGAAAATATTAGAAGTTTGTTACAGCTAGTTCAGTGTTCACATATCCTGAAATGAGGAATGATTTAAAATGAAATTTTGTTCTGGTAATTATAGAATCACAGACTACTGTAAGTTAATTAAGGCAATTTTAGTGAATGTAGGCTGCAGTTATGAGAACTAAAACACTTACCTTGACCTTGCA